TGCTGACACATGAATGAGACAACTAATTAGTTGTGTTTATGATAAACCAATTAATAATATTTATTAGAGAACACCAGCTGCAGGGGTGCTCATTAACACCATTCTGTGCTAATACGAGCCCTAAACGTTTGTCTTGTTTGCTTTCAGGCATGTTTTGCCATGCAGAGAACACATCTCTGTCCTCTTCTCATCCCTCTCGGGGTTGCATTTACGCTCCTGATTCAAAACTATGACCAAAGCTTTCCCTAATGTGCTGAAGATGGATTATTCCTAACCCTTTCGGTGTGCCTGACTGAAGGTATTCTTTTCAACAAGCTTGGTTAGCGCTGTGTGTTCAGCAGAGGCAGAAGCAGCGGTGATGTGCACTTTCTTCTCTTATGCCTCCTTACCTTCCTCAACACCCCCCCCAGGGTGGAGGAAAGAAATCTGTGTGCTGTTTAGTGTTCTGCATGTAGCACAGGTCTTAATGTAGTGTTCTCTTATTTAATGTGTCCTTTTTCCCCACTAAGGAATATCTACCCCTCAGTTAATTAGTCTTTCAAGACAGACTGTGTATTATTATTTATAAACTAAGTTGCTTTGGGATAATAATGCTGCTGCACTGCCAATGAAATGAAAAAACATTTTGCACATTATGTTCGCATGTATGTGTGTGTGACACACACAGGCTTCTTCCATGCCCCTTGTCTTTCAGTTACTACTAATTTTTTGTTCTGTTTTGAGAGCATTCAAACTACTATGCTGTGGAGACAGCAGGGCTATGGTGGTTAATTCCTGTCCCTTGCCAACCCCTTGGAATCTGTTTTGGTTTGGAAAATGGGAAGGAATGAAGCTGTGGGAAATGGTGTTTCTGTCACTGGTTAGAGAAGAAGCTACCTCGCAAATTGCCGTGTAGGCTAAGACATGCATTGTGTGAATGCGTAGTCTGCGGAGACATTCACCAATGTGCTGTAATTTCCCCCTCTAACTAAAATAACCATTGCAATTGCAATGCCATTTCCCAATTTTGGGGCTAGACTTTGGCTTCCTTCCCAAACAACTCTGTGAACTCTGAGCTGAGGATGTCGTTCAGTCCCTCTGCCCGTGTTGTTTGTTCCAACTACTGGATCTTTTTCAGTTTTGGGAGATGCTGCATCTCCTTGTTTCTCTGCCAGGGGAAGGCGCACACACAGAAAGATGAAGAGCACAGCCAGCATGTTAGTGCAGCATAGGGAACAGTGAAATACTGAATGTGGCAGGACTCGAGAATCAAACATCTACTTGTGCGGTTGTGTTTACAGCACACGTGGTTTGTGTGGTACTGTACTGGAATGTACAGGACAATGTTTAGGCATGACTGATAGAGAAGGGGTACTTGTTTACTGTGATTTGTGTAAGAATAATAATATAATAGTAGAAAAACAACAGTAATGGCAATGAAATAAGCTAATATTCTCTTTACTTTTATTCTTTAGTAAAGAAGTGTTGAAGGATAACATTGATTAAATGTTATCTGGTTTAAGGCATTGTAAATGGTAAGACAGTTTTGTATGTAGACTGCATAATTTTTCAAAATACGTGAGTATTTGTAAATATACTCTAGAGCAATTCTTTTCCTTGCAACCTTTCATCCTGTGCTACACATAGTGATTCCATTGCTCTTTCCTTTTTCTTTGCTTAATATGTAAAGGAGTTGTTTCATCCTGCCATCTTAACTTTTTTCTTTGTTGATATAAGAGCATAAATTATTCCTAATGCAGTTCTTCCTTAAACATTCGTTGTACACTGATAGGCTTACCAGAGATGGGTTCACCAGGGGAACAGATGACTCAGGCTTTTACGCACTGAGTCAACAGTCGCAATGAGTAGATTCCTATACTTTTGGCGTGTCAGTACAAGCTGTCACTTCATTTCACTGAGTTTTATTGATGAGTTTTTCCAGAATTAATTTAAGCATAGTGAAGTATTGAAAAATAATGTGACCTATGTATATGGTCTGCTTAGGCGTAGGTTATGATGGAAAGTGCATTGAAGTTGTTACCTGCTTTCACTGTGCTACCTGTGCACTTAAGAAAACAGCCTTAGTGTGCCTTTCATGTTTGTATTTTCATCAGTTTCTTTTTGAGTAGTATGTCAATAATGCCCAACAGATGTGTTTAAATATGTAACGTATAGCTGGCATTTGCTTCCGCAGCCATGTAATGTTTAACTTTGTCCAGAGAGTGTTGATTGTTTCTTTGAGAAGACCAAAGATTTTCAGAGATATTGCTAGTAAAATAGTTCAAAGGGCAATAATGCAGCATGGGGCTCTGGAACTTTCCAGGCTGTGAACAGGATATAATAAAGTTCTATTCTCTGGCATCAGCTTAAAAATAGTCCTTATGTTTTGTTAAACATTTCAGTTGGGCTGTCATTAAGGGAAGTGATGCACTGTGACTCAAACTGACAAATTCTGTGTCACACCAAATCTTCAGTTCTCTGCCAGCAACAACCTTATTGAACATCATTTCTAACTGAAAGGCTGGTTGTGAACAGCAGTAACCCACTGTCACAACAGAGACAAATAACTGTCATCAAAGTAGATGCAGGTTTCATTTTATTTCGTTTATCCTTCTGCACTGGGATCTCCCAAAAAGTTCTGATACTTTGTGCTGATCCTCCCCACTTTTGATCTACAGATGAATTATCTTCACCTCAACTCTGCCCATGAATTTCAAGATCATGTTGCTGAACTGCCTTTTTACAGGAAAATGATCTAATGACTGGATCACCCTGCTATCACAGAAATTATGCTCCTACACTCAGATATCACCAAGGTGGTGACCACTTAGTGCAAATCTTCTTCCTATTGTTAAGGCTTTATCAATAGGATAAAAGCCTGTGCTCTTCGCTGCTAAAAGAATTAATCACATCTAGTTAATGTATTTGAGACATCCCACAAATAAATCGAACCGTTATTTATGGAGGACTTATCTCCGTTCAGCTGTAGGGATCTTATGGAGTTTTTTTGGGGTGATTTATTTTTGTTTTTCTTAAGTTTCTGTCTCTTTCTGTTTTTCCCTTCTGGTGTATTCCTGTCATCTCGGAGGCCCACTGAATTGTGAGCTGGCTAGCTTTCCTTTGTGGCGGGTGTGAAAAACTTGACTGTATCTGTCAGTGTTCCAGCTTCTGGTAGTGAATGTGAGCTCTCTTGCCTTTCCACTGAAACTGTGTTTTACTGTGCTGTATTCTAAAAACGTGATTATAAAGTGGAACATTTAAGGATTGGATGGTGGCGTAAGATCCGTTTGTGAGGGTAAATGGCTGTATCTGGAAACTTCAATGATCTGATACTACATCTATGGTCAGCTTTAGAGAGGATATAGTTCAAATAGGGAGATGTCTGCCCAACCTGTTGTGCTTTGGAAACTGCTTTTCAGTAAATCTAATTCTTCAGATCATATCAAGTAATGCTAATATTTAGAGTCATTTCAATCATGTGGTGAGCCTTAGTAGCAAGGAATTGCTGGCAAGTTGCTATTCAAGTCTGGTGCTGTTACATCAACTGTTTCATAAAGACTTCATCATGCACAAACTTTTATTCTTATCCCACTTTTACCACCAAATTATAATAGGGTCAGTTTGAGACTGTCTACCAAGAGATTTCATTGGCAATTTGGGCTAAAGCAAAAACTTCAAAATATTCTGTGAAGGTTAGATTTAATTGTTCCCTTTTAACTGTTATGGAAGAGTGGCAAAAAGAGTGATAAAAAAGCTTCAGCCAGTTTGTCTTTTGTTTCCTCAAGCAGCGGTTCCAAGCCCAAAGAAAAGTATAAAGCGAGCTGAGTTGGCCTTTTGTATGTATCAGAGCTTTCCTTGCCTTGGCTCCTCATCAGATCAGGTCTACTTGCTGTGAGGATCATCTGACTCACCTTTTAAAATGTTAAAGGTCAGCTGCACTTGAGGAAGCCCCCCCGGTTGGCAGTGACTTCTAGAAAATGTCCTCAGCTCTTCCTTGACAATTAGCCTTTCCGAAACCATAGGCTTTTATTTTCTTCCCTCAGGCCTCTAAGATCCCGGTGTAGTTTAATGCACTGCAGAAAGCACTGGATAGATCCTATCACGATATTCACTGTTGCGTATTCCTGATTGAAGAATGTAAGGTGGATGGGTTTTGCTTTTGAGCCAATGTATACCCCATTAGTCCACGTCCCTTCTGCAGAGTAGCTAATGGTGCGTTTGTTTCTTTCCTCTTTCTTATCTTTTTTTCTTTGATGCTTTCATCCTTTTGGTTAGAAGGCATGAGGTGTGTTAGTCTGAAGAGTGATCTCAGTCACCTGCATGACTGTAAGCCCAGGATAAAAATGGATTATTAAGCAAGAACTAAATTTCTTTATATTTATTAGGTAGAATGAGTTTTTAATAATGATGTCATATAGCCAGAATACAATTCTTCTCATTTATATGCCAGTCACTGTCAAAAGAATTGGTTATTTTACCGTCTGCTTTGATGTATGTAGATTTTTACTCGATGATTAATTCTACTAAAAAGTTCATAATGTAGTATCAGACTATATAAACTAACCTAATTACTAATAGCATTTAACTGGTTTAGAATGAGTTTAAAATGATCATGTACTGTGAAAATTGTCAGACAGGAGGTGATCAAGTTACGCTGCGAAGAGAGATTTTGTGGCAAATTAAATGAGTGCTTATGTAAAATTTTACCTACTCTTGCAGTGTGTGCAAGTGTGTGCGTATGCGCACGCACATTCCTATACCGGAGCTGATGAGCCTCTGGCAGGGAGCTTTGCAGAAGCTGCAAGTATTTTTAGTGGAAACAAAATCTCAGTTTGGTTCTGCAGCATGTGACTTCCTATTTCTGTAAGTTACTTCCAAGGGACTTCCTCTGTTAAATCGGCTTGTCTCTAGAGATTTAATCTGGAGCCGGAGTGTAGCCTGCTTTGTCCTGTGCCTGTGACAGCGTTTTCCCAGAGTTTTCTTTTGAGTATTTTATTTTTATTTTGTACTGTCTCCAGCATGCAAGGATCTAGTGGCTGCTACCCGTGATCGGAAACTGAATACATTTATACAAGTCTCGGTGGTACATCCAGCAGAGCACATTTTGACGAGGTATTCAAGCACTGAAATCGTGGAGGTGAGAGTCTTTCTTATTCAATTAACATGTTGATTAATGAATTGCTCATTTCTTCTTTAGAAAGCGAATGAGAAATAAAACAAGTTAGTGCACAGTCTTAGGTAAGACAAGCACACTCTGGCAGTTAGGAAAGCATACCTAAGAGAGTTCTGTAGCTCTTGGCATTTAACCAGGATAAACAGTTAGAAATGAACTTGGCTTTTCATGAAAGCTCCGTTGTTCCGAGTAGAGGCAGAGAGAATACTCCAGTTGTCCAGACATACGTCTAGAAAGAAACAGGGAATAGTTGCTCTCATGAAAGGACAAGGCAAAGTAAAACTAAATTAAGAGTCCAGTGAGTTTGTAAAGTATTTTTAAGTTACAGAAGAACATAGGTGTATTATATGGTCTGTTATCCTATCAGTTTCTTGTTCTATTTTTTCAATCGGAAAGTTGACGCTTTTGCAATTTGAAAAATATTAGCCTGCTTCTATAAATAGGGAAAAGAGTGTGTGTACGTAATGCCTGTGACTTTATATAAAATAATTAGTAACTTGCATCACATATTACAGCAAAAGTTGTCTGAGGCTGCTTTGCTAGTCTTTGCTTTGCCCTGGAAGCATCAGTGTCAGAAACATCAAAAATGGTTCACAGAGAAAATTAAGTGTGAGCAGGCAATATAGGTGTAACGTGCTTAACTTACTGGAGATGCTCGTTAAGAACAGGGAAGTCTTATTGTAAAAACACACACGATTTTGCCAAAGGCTTGTTTTAACTGTTAAATACAATGGGAATATTTCATGAGCTCTTTGTGTGATCAGTTTCAACGAACTACTAATTAAATTGTTACGATTTCAGCCATCAACCATCCTGAAACTGCTTAATTCAAGTATTCAGGATGTTTCATCGCAGACTATCTGGAATGATGTCGTGCAGAAGATGGAATATATTTATTTATTGAATAGAAGCTGACACATTTCCTAACACAATGTCCTAGATGAGAATAAATCCCTAAATTTGTTGTGTCAAGGCTCTCGGCTTCATAGTCAAGCTTTGGGGGAGGGGAAGGCAGGGGCACAGAAAAGTTATTTTTGTCAAGAGAAATTACATTTATTGTGCAAAATCCCTTTTTTTACTTAATAGAAAATTTAAGGATACTGGCCTGCTCATCTTTAGAAATTAAGTATAATTAAACATTAAGAAATTATAAACAACATTTTATATGATTCCTTGAATTGTTTGTATATCTGAAGCTATGATATAGTTATTTCTGTGTGCAACTTTTAGATATAATCATAACGTTACAAAGAACCAGGAATGTTATTACTCCACTACTGCCTGAAGAGGGGTATTGTAATCCCCTCCCCACAAGTCACTATCCTTAATGTAATACAGGAGGTCTCTGTTGCGTTTCTATAGACATTTTATTGTGACTTAATCAAGATCTCTCTTGTGTGTGTGTGTGTAAGTTATATCTTTAGTTCATTTAAATTAACATGAAATTGCAGTACTTTCAGAAAGAATTGTGGGAGAAAGAAAGGAGTTGTTTATTACAGGTGGTATTCCAGATACTGATGCCTGCTGGCTGAGCTGTGTAAAGGCATGTTGCTAGGCTCTGTTTCAGAAGCACTTAACATCTTCTCCAGTTAAAAAACTTGCCAGAAAGTTTTTTGAAACTTTCCTGACAGACTTTTGAAGTGATCCAGTCTTCTTATTGATTGGGTAATACCTAGATGTTCACATCTCTCTGCTGTAAGCTAACTTCTTTTAAAGACCCCCCAGTTTCTGTACATCCATAACGGCGTACTACACATTGCACAGCTGTTACCTTACTGAATGTTTACTCATGTTACACAGGGTACAAGAGATCCACTGTTTTTGACTGGTGTGACATTCCCACCGGAATACCCCATCTATGAGGAGACTAAAATAAAACTGACTGTCTATGATGTCAAAGATAAATCTCAAGACACGGTAAGTGCTTTGCTTCGTTGCTTGCAAAATTTTACTGAGGATTAAGTTTCTTGCTATGTTGTTCTTTGGCTCTCTTTAGCAGGTTTGCAAATTGGGGAAATAGGTTTGTGTAGAATTAGTTTTGCTCTTTTCCCTAAAATGTTCTTTATTTTTTGTTGTTATATTAGAGAATAGAGAAAGAGAACCATGCACTTAAGATGGACCCTTTGCTATTGTTTAATTGGTTACATGAATCAGCACAGGTGTTCCTGGCAAATAAAAGATTACTCTTGTGTGCTTTTTTTGATGGTAGAGAACATATGGAATAGACTGAGATAACACCATTGTGAATAATTTTTCAGAAATATGTTTCTAATCATATTTTACTTATATGCCCAAACCAGAATGATAATAGAGCTTGTAACCTGATGTTTGAGAGAGAGAACCATATTTTATTTTAATCTCTTGCATGGTGATGCCTGCAGCTCCTGTGGCTGGTGCTATTATTGATTTGTAAGGGTCCAAGATCTTCTGTGTCACTGCTAAAGGTGAATCATTTTGGGTTCCAATGTTGTACGTTTTTGGTCACACTGTCAGCTTTTTACGCTGAGAGACAGCTACTCACTTGAGATGATACATGGAGGTCAATGGAACTATTCAAGTGATTTAACTGCCAAATATAGACCTTGAGTACTATTTTATATGCTCCAGGTGATCTAAGACAGCCTTGCAGAGCTAGAAGATATCACAGGACCTATGGGAGATCTGTATTTTTCTTCTGTGGCAGCTGGAGTCCAGCTGATAGTTTTCTCTTGGGCATCAAAAATGGCCCTTGATACCTGTATTTAATTAGCTTAATTGCTCTTTACGTATCTGTAGTAGTCCCCCAGTATGGTTAAAGACCACACAAGCTCATGTCATGACTGTGTATGTGTTCATTATCCATAAGAAGGAAATGAAAGGTGTAACTTACAACTTGAGACTGTCTTTGAACTGCTTACGTAAGTAAAGTTATATGTTTAGAGGACTCCTAATTTTTTTGGGGTAGAAAATAGTTGAGATGTTTGTTTAAATTTTGGACCTTTGTGAGCAAACAGGTTGGATCTGTCTCCTCGCTGTGCTCTTTAATGGGGATATGTGGAATATTTCAGACAGATTCTGAATTTCTTTCAGTTTATAGACCAAGGTGTGTTTTTCTGTTTAAGAATAACCGGGGCAGGGGCATGTATGCACGTTTTCACAACACACATGTTTTAATTTTTGGTTATGGTTTAGACTACAGGGGCTTAAAAAGGGATCTGCTGTTTATTCAATAGAGTTGTCACCTATGGACAGATACAGAAATTGAGTGAAAGGAGTTTGACTTTGTCCCTTCCAGTTTGTAGTGTGACTGACAGATGATGGAAAACAATATCCTATCTGTAGGTGAAAAAAGTAGACTTGATTCATAGAGCTATTGCTGTGCTACTACTCTTCTAGTTGCAGACCTCTATCCTGCCTCTTATACAGGACAAGATCTAGCCTAGAGAATGAATATAATATAGTAAATTTTTGCAAACTTTTGATAACTTTTTATAACTGTTCCTTACAATTGTAGTACAGGGCTAGTATCTCTCCCAGAGAATCCCATTAATGTAGCTCATAAGTCACAAGAGAGAATACCTTTCTCTTTTGTCACAGTGATTATGTAGTCCCTATGTAAAACATTCTAGAACTGTAGTTTGTAGTAGTTTTTGAGGGGGAAAACGTTAATCCCATCTCCGGTTTACATATATTTAGCCTTTTTTAACATTCAGCCATTTTAAAACTGGATGTAGGAAACAAAAAGTTAAATAAGCTGTAAGATTTAAATCAAGGTAGACTGTAACATGTGTGAATGATCCTGGGCCACCCAGGTTGCAACTTGCATTTGTGGCAGTATTTGGACTTCTGTTTACATCCTAGAATATCAGTAAGAGTAAAACTAATGGCTTGACTTTCTTTCCTATAATTGGAAGCCATCATACTTTTCTATTAATTCAGGTGACATTTTTGAATCTGAGCGTGTATATCGATTCATACAAGTCAGGTTTAAATGAGCTATAACTTGATACCATTGCCAGCATAGCTGCAGCTGCACAGACCTCAGAGCTTGCTTCGTGACCCAAGAAGTGGGATGTGTCCCTTTGGCAGTAAGCCTGCTCCAAGCGCTGTGGCTTCACGGTTCTGATTATCCAGGCTACGATAAAGCTGTCTTTCTTGTGCCACAAAAACTGCTGCCACAGCTTATGGCCGCAACACCTAGCCATACCATTCCTCGAAGCAGACAGGTAATCCAGTTGGGGGTGAAGGGGAATCCAAGGCTGTTAGGTATGCTTGCTCTATGTGGCCGTGCTTCCAGACCAGTTGCCAGCTCATACAAGTGAGCATTTATGGCAGAATAAACCTTGGATCTAACTGCCAAATATTTTGCAGAAACTGAGCAAAAAGCTACAGTAATGAGAATTCCCACAAGGTCGGGACTATGCTGCTCCTGGTTACTTCAGTTAACCAGTTCGAAGTAGCTAATATCTCGTCACAAATATATACTTACTCTTTTCTTATTTCTCTTGTAATTAAAATGAAACTAAAGGAAGTGAATTCTGTGCATTAATTAAACTCAGCAGGATTTTATGCCACGAATAGAAGACTGTAGAGAAGGCGGGGAAAGGGCAGTGGGTGCATCACAGGGTAAAGTATTTTCTTGGTTTTTACCTAAACCTGCCTCTTTCTGTACAAGAGAATTAGGTCTCTCTTTCAAACCCCCTGGATTTTTACTGTAATACAAAACTAATTAAATACTGCTTTGTGCACACAGGTCGTAATGCTAAAGCGAAAGGGGATGCTCCCCAATGAGAGACAATCAAAATTATTTTTGGTACTGCTGGTGTGCTACTTGTGCTGCTCTTTTTACAAAGATTTAAAAGTAACCTTGCAGTGGGTGCGTTCCTGTACCAGAAAGCAGATAGTTAACTTCACTCTTGCCTGTCATCTAGCTTACGTTATATAAGAAATGCAGTTTAGTTACATTAAAGTACTGTGCAGCTGGTATCACATTCTCTGTGCTTGACATACTGAATGTTCTAACTGCACTTTTCACTTTTTATGCATCTCTGATGTTGATCATAATTATATCTTGGCTGCGTCAGGCTTTCTGTAATTCAGGCTTTTTAATATAATGAAATGTAACTTTTTTGTTTTGGCTAGTCTTCCCAAGTTAGGGTGATTGGTTACTGTAAGTTTTCATGAAATAGAAACTTTTAATAAAGACTATGCTATTCCTACTTTACTTTGATATAGTTGGAATAAAGAAGTTAATATGGTATGTTTATGAAATACAATTTAAGTATATCCAGTGAAGCCATGCATATAAAGCAGTGGGTAATGCCATATTCTGAAAAATGTACAGTGACATCTGTTTCTACATCACAAAGATTTTCTTCCTATATTGCCACAAGCAAATTTATGTTTCGCTGGCTTGAGCTGCACGGTCTTTAAGATTTTTAGATAGTTGAGTTTTGTCATAATGCTGGGGCTCCACCTGTTCTTTAAGTCATTGTCCTGGAAAATGGGAATTAGAAGCTCATATGCTGTTAAAATATTACCTCTGTACCACCTCTGCACAAGCATGCTATTCTTATCTTTCCTATAAGCATGCAGATTTGCCCAGTTTGGTCTAGCAGGTATTAAAGCTGAAGTGGGATTCGTTCTCTTTTAAAATACTGCTTAGCACAAGGCAGGTACCACTGCCACATGACAGATCCACAGAAAATACAAAATAGATGAATTTGTGTTATGTTAAGAGGCGGGAATGCCTAGTGACTAATTTGGGAGGCAGCGGTCTTTCTGTTCTGTGTTTAGAATATATATACTTGTGTCTTGCAGCAAATGTTCTGAACTTCATTGTGTAAAGCAGTGTGGCTATATTTTTAGGCGAACACTGTAACATTTAGCTATGGTGAGGCTTTTGCTTGCTTGTTTTCTAAGATTGATTCCTCCATTCCCATGTCTACGTCTGATTTGTGTTCGTTTAATGCATTTATACCTACAGTGTAAATTCTTACTACGCTGTCTTTTCTATCTGCATGGTGGCTTTGAAAATGTTTGCGTCTTGTACGATAGGATTGTGTTTCTTTTACCTCAAGATCTTGTTGCGTTAAACACTGTTGTAATGTTCTGGTATGCAGTGAATCAGGCTGCCTCCTTTTGATCCACGCGTGGAGAAGTGCTGGAAGCAGAGGACTGTATCTGGTCTCTGCATCAGCCCTTTGCAGATTCCCTTACTTTTAGGAGGAGATGGAAATCTTGGTGTGAGATTCTTCTCTTCTTAAGAAGAAGCTTCAAAAGCAGAGACTTCGTGTACCAGCTAGGGTTAGAGATTTAAAGTATGTTTTTGCTGTTTATCTTGAAGACCAGCAGGTAGATGTAATCTCCTTTGGATGGATATAAGTACTGGAATTCACATGTGAGATTGAAGATGTAAATAACCACCCTAATGCTACCTCCTGGGAGCAAAGAGAAACTGGATGTATAAAAGGCAATTGAAATATTACACGTTCTACAGTCTGGTCCTGCATTTATTATTTCCCAAATTTTCTCTTGATCACTGAGAATAAAATTAGATTAATTTGACAATATTAAGAGTAATAGGGATAGAAGGGCAGTTTTGGATATGAGAACATACTTTATAAAGTGATAATTTTTGATTATTTAGGCTTCAAATAACATGTCTTTTAACTGTTGCGGTTTGAATCTTCTATTAAACTAGCTCACTATGAATGAAAATTTGCAAAACGTTTTGCTTTGTGTTTCTTGACATTTCAAGTATCCCTGTTATAAAATTCAGTCACACTGGAATGAGTGGAAAATGAAGACTGTCTGTCATGAAAGAGGCATTTTGAGTTCAGTTGTGAAGCCAAATCTGAAGTGACAGCATTCCACGTTCCCTTGTGAGCATCGATGTGTATCACAAAACCACCACGCAGTTTAGTGTGGTTTGCCAT